CGATTTTTTGACCTCAAGCTCAACTCAGTTGTAAATCATCGAATACAATAAAGGAGTTCCTCACCTCCATGGCAACAGCCAGCTCTGCTTCAGCTTCTTTGAGAGCCGCCTTCTTAGGAGCCACAACTCGCGCTACCCTGGACACCACAAACAGAAGTCCAGTCAGGACCCTACTGCTGCTATGACGTAGTTATATATTTTCAATCTACTTCCAGTCGCATTAAAGACAATTACCAAATCTACTACTACTCAACATGAAATAAAAACGTCCTGAGGAAGCATGAGAACGTCAAACCACTTACCTTGCGGGGCTGCACTGTAAGCAAAGCTTGTAAGTTATACAACTGTATAAGAATCTTTTTTTTTTTTCGGAGAGGAACACATGTCTGCTTAATAACTCTACTTTATAAATATCACTACCTTACATTGGTCACCATACTAAATAACCCGTCCATTGCGCATGCGCTTCAATTCACGAGTTAAAATGTGGCCAAAGATGAACAACAGCTATTATCTTTTGCGCATGACTGATGGCGCAAATAGCTCTATGGGAATTCAGCCAAATAGTCTGTACTGATTTGTTTCCTTTGAAACAATAAAAGCGCAATTGTTCAAACAAGGGACTGCATTTAGGAAGAACTCAGCTTTTTATTCCACATGATTATGGCAAAGCCAAAATTTTAGAATTCCGTGTCAAAATACGTAGGCTCGAGAAAATTTCGACGAATTTAAAACATTTTTGAAAAGTAATTTAATTTGTGAACATAAACTCATAATGTAAACAAAAAAAAGGTTGAACAATGCATGTTAGTCCCAAAGGGAGTCCATTGTAAATCCAGCAGCACTTATTAGGTTTTGGACAAAGCATGCGCTGTGTGGCCAAAATAGCCAGAATTTGGCTACGTTCGCTCGGAGTTCCGGAGAGCCTCGCGTCTTGCTAAGTCAAGAAAGCAAAGATCTATGGTCCAGAATGGTGAGGAATACTACCACTATAAAAAGGCATGTACTAAAACCCGAAGCAACGAAACGAAACCACAGAAACGAGCGAAACGAAACCAC